CAAGATGAGCAATGGATGCCAGATCCTTGGGAAGTAAAATCCAGATATTTCCAAACTCAACAATATGCTGCACCGGATGGTCGCCATAGATATATCTATGAAGCCATTCTTACTGAAACTTCCTCTGTGGAGATCAACCACACGAAGCAATTTCCGAATTCCAAAGATAGTCCTCTTACTTATAGTAATGCTATCTTTAAGAGGCTTATACGGCCTAGTGACTGGGGATTAAATCCCAATTTGCCAAGAAAAATATCCTATGGTCACAGTTACAATTATTGGGATTATATCTCAGCTTGGACATATTCGTTCTTTTATCAAAATCTGAAGCATAGGCATTCTTGGTTCTTCAAGATATGTCCTCAATCAGTTAAGGCTGATTTCCCAAACTGGGTTATACCCTGGTGGGCTATATTTGGCCCTGATCTGGATATGTTGCCCGAATCAATCAGTCAATTATACTTGCCATGGCAACAATTTCATCCTCAATTACGGGGACATGATAATATTCCTGTAGGGAAATCCACCCTATTGTTCTTTACTGAATTTGGAATCCCTTGGATTTGGAAAATGGGATTTCCAATGTGGTTATACCACTGACAAGTTACCGGTCCTCCAGAGGATCTTTTATTACAGATGGTGGTCAGGCATGACTCAAGAACCTATCCAAGCCCTCCTCCATCAGATCAGAAAGAAAACAATGGAATACATGGATAAGATTCCAAAGTTAACTATTCCAGAACCCGAAATCTTTAACCCATTTGAACTTGTTAAAGATATGATCAGAAAACAACAACCATTAATTACCGAAGCTGATTTAATGGTTAAATGCATGGATTTTATGAGGACCAAATTTGTTAAATCTTTTGAGTCCTCCACCCCTACAGTACGAGATGATGCATCCATGGTATCAGGCTCTAGCCAGACCAGTCAAGACGGAAATCAATTTTCCTGTCTAGCAGGTTCTGCACAGGATCCCAATGAAGATCTTAATTCTGAAGATGAGCCTACAGTAGCAGACTATTGGGACTCTCTCACCAGTCACTTGAGGGACAAGATGAATCCACCCAAAAAGTAAAGATTCCTCTTATCCTACCGACAGAAGCAGCCAAAGAACTTTACCCAAAAGTCTTTGGTTCTACAGTATGTCCTTCATCAGATGACTACTTTCCATCAGATAAGGAGACAGCACTTAGTGGTGGGCCGACCGACTGCATTATTCCAGCACACGATCCCATTCACTATGCGGACTTCAAAATGTTAATTTCAAGTCCATTTTATGTATAAATAGAGGGCAAAGTTTTCCTTCAATGTACTTCAATTTTTCTTTTCTCTCTTTTGTAATATTTCTCTAGCTTGGAAGCTTATAAAGAAAGTTTTCTGTAAGTCTGTTCAACTCTTGTGTAAATTTGTTCATATATCGATCCTCATATATATATATTGAGATAATAAAATATATATATCAATTTATTCGTGTAATGTTTGACAACAAAGCTCCTGCACAACTCTAATACGGAATAGTGAAATGTTATTTGTACTTTGAATTTAATACAATTTCAGTTCACATCATCTTCCACAAAAAAATATATATATATTTTATAACATTCTATAGTCAGGTCAATCATGATTCAAACTTGGAACCTTTTTTACACTTAAAGAAGATGATAGAGATAGTGAACACATTAACAAACTTTAAAGCGAATATGGGAATACAAAGTTGAAAATGCAATCAATAAATTTTTTAATGTTTTTGAGTCCACTTTATTACGTTTAAAAATTAAGATAGTAATTCAGCCTTAGGTCCCTGCGCCAGCCCCGTAGTTATTTGGATTATTTCAAAACGTATTTTATAAATAATTATTCATTTTTGTTGATTTTATACTCAAGAGTGCATTTCTAATTTATAATACTATGCTATTTTGTTAAATGAGAAAATATGGTTTCATACTTTTGTAAATGGGGAATAAAGTCTAGAAATATATATTTTTTTATGTAAATATCTAGGAAAGGTTTAGTCATATATAACATTAATTTATTGTAATCCAAGTTTATGTTCACAAAGCGTTACCAACCAGTCAAATGATATTTGTATATATAAGTACAAAAATCACCGATTCAGTTTGATCTCATTCGATTTTTCTGATATTTAAACTTTCAATTAAATATATTCTAACAGTTTCACTATTTGTGGACTGAGATCTGAAACATTGTTAAGAATAGAGACAAAATTTATGTTTAAATCGGTTCAGGCCGTGGTAAAGAATATAACATTGTAGGATTGAGAGTTTTGGGTTCTCCTTTGGTACCTCTCCTTCCAAGAGACTGCAATGATAGTTCAAGAAAATGTTAATTGTATAAAGCATAACTAATGAATTATCTGCAATAAAACATTTCAAATACTTACAAAATAGAGAGCCTACTTGCAAATAAGCTGACGTAACTTTGAGTTCACACTTATAAACTTGTAAAACTTTCAGCTCACACTTGTAAACTCGTAAATCACGAACTAAGCTCAAATATATATATTTATTTAAAGGTAACTTAGCTGAATATTCAAAGAAAGAGGCATGTTTTAAATGTTTTCCCCTACTTATGGTTTAAATTGAAAGATTTTATTAATCAATAAGTTCCATCCCCTCTCAAATCCATTGACCAAAAAGTGTTGTTGCGGGTTTAAAATTTTGTTGAGTAAAATTGAATATCATAACTATATTTCACTTGCAATATGCATATAACATTATTTTATTATTATTATTATAAAAGAAATTGTTTACTTTAACTTTTCAAAAAAATATATATAATAATAACAATAATAAATAAATAAATGCTTTCTTAGATTCAAAAGCGGACACACTAGGCACTTTTCAATAAATAAAGTAGGTGCTTTGCACTGGCTCACACTAGGTCAGTGTTCGATCCCTGTCAACCCTATTATTACTCCCGACTTACCCGGTGTATACTTAGGGCGAGGTACCGCACCCCCAAGTTTGTAACCTATGATGGGTCCCGAAGGGGCCCTGCTTAGGGGAGTTCTTGGTGCTAAAAAAAAAAAAAATAGGCACTGCACCCCCAAGTTTGTAACCTAGGATGGGTCCAGAATGGGCCCTGCCTAGGGAGCTCCTGGTGCTGAAAAAAAAAAAAAAAAAAAATCAAAAGCGCGTACACAGTTCTTCAAAAGTTGACTGTCACTCATACATGTACACCCTCATGGACATCAGGACCATCCATATATGTGGAGACCTGCCCAAATAAACAAATTTTGTTTTTCTTCTGGCACGCTGAGCTATCATCTTTTGTACTTTACAATTTAATTGTTCAAATAAATTTCATTAAAACTTATATATCTTTTAACATCTCAATGTTGGAAAATAAAGCTGGTATGAGAGAAAAAAAAAAATGGCATTATTATATATCTTTAACTGGTGAATTCATGAATTATAAATAGGGTGGGCTAATATTTTTTTTGGTAGCTAATATTAGTAATAATTTTTTTTTGGTGGACAAAAAATTATTCCAAATCTCATTTCAACATGGGGAAAACAATTTTTTATATTTTAGATATAAAAAGGTTACATTTCAAAATTTAAAAAAAAAATAAATCAGCTCATATTATTTACGACATAATACATCTTTTTTTCTTAAAAGAAAAATGTAACACTAAAGCAACACGACTTTTCCAAGATAGTTTTTTCTTTCGCTTTAATTAGCAATTCTGATGAGATATATGTGGCCTTGCCTCGAGTCTTTTAAGTCTTTGTATATTTCCAAAATCAAAAGCTATCCCCCTGCCCTGTGGTTCACGGAAACGCAGAACTTGATCATTTCTAAGTCTTCAAACATGGACGCTTCCCCCAGAAAATGACTCCATAGTGACCATTCATGCATTTTGTTTTATGCCTTAAATTCAGTCTTCGGTTTTGGACAAGAAGATTTGTTCACTTCTATCCCTTTCTCTTTCAATTTGCAGACTCACCTTTTAATTTCTGTACAATGAATGTCTCCTAGTCAAGATTCCACACAATGGTACCTTTGGAAAATCAATCAAAAATTTCGTGCTTGATTGCTCATCCCCAAAATCATTAATCACTGCCTTGTCTTTTAATTAATCATCTTATCAGTAGCAACTAACTCTGTTCTAGTGATTATGGGGCACAGCAGTAAAGAGATTCCATAATTACAATGGAGAGGGGAGACATTATACAGGTTATAAAATAATAAATATATTAGGACTTTGTATGCATTTGTCTTGAAACTAGTGATAGATCATATTTAGCCAGTGCTTGAAAAATTATGATTAAACCCTTGGAACAAGTTACGTTGTTGATGCAATGAATATTCATCTGATTTATTCCATCTGTATTTTTTATTTTTTCTATCTAGTGATCTGCACTTTTGACTTTTATCTAATATATATATATATATATTTTAACACCTTTAACTACTTTTATGAGCTATAAACTTCTAAGAGAATGGCTCTGCAAATTGGTCTCCAATTGAATGCATTGTGTGTCAGATGTAAATCTACCTGTGATTATTGTTAGTGGACACACTATATATTTTATCTTTATTAATGGATGTATATCCTAAATGACTTATATGACATGCTTGTAGGTAGCCCAAAGTAGATTTTTATCATTTTGATTCTCTGGTATATAATTCTCTGTTAAATTTTGGTCACCGCCTGTTAGAGTTTGGATTAGGACTGGATGGTAAAAACCACGGGAATTTTGATCTTTGATATGGGTATTTGAGGTTTTTTGGCCTTTTCAGATGCGAAGTCTCTTTGTAGTGGCATGCTTATAAAAATTTAGCATGTTTCATGAATTTTGAATATTTCAATTCAATAATTAGTGTGTTTTAAAATAGTACAGCAAAGCAGTTAATATGATCCTTTTCTTTTCATTCCAATATATTTCATATTTGTAACAAAAAAATAAAATAAAAATAACCATTCTATTTTCATTCCAAGCACAGCAACGCAGCATAAGTGAAAGTACAAAATCATAATATACCTCCATCTTTTGGGTCTTCTTTTTTTCCCCTTCCTCTCTCAAAAAAATAAAATAAAAGAGCGCGTGCAATCCATTCATCTTCCTATCTCTCCTCTCTTTCTCTGACCTCTCACCTCCATCTTTTGGGTCTTCTTTTCCCTCCTCTCTCTCTTTCTCTCTCCAGCTTCATCGGCTTACTGTAGGTGCAAGCAACGGTGCCCGGAATGCCAGATTTGAGCTCAGGAGTGTCAAGATCAATTGATGGTCCAATCGATCGATGGTGTCGTCGGCGCCGGAGTCTTGTTCGGTGACGGAATCCATTTTTTTTTTTACCATCTCTCTCACTAATTTGTTGGGTGAACAGATCTCTCTTCCAAAGCTATAACTCTTGGATGAACTACTAATTTCGTGGTGGCGGGAGCACGCGAGGTCGACGCCGACGAGCGGAGTTATAGTGTGTTGGCTTCTTCAGCATCGATATTTATTTTTTCGATAGTGAAATTTCAGATTGTCATCGTTGTGCGTTGTTGGGTCGCCGGTGGCTATCGCAAGTTGTGTCGTCACAGTAAGAAACTGATCTGATTTTTCCGTCGTTGTTTGCATAGGTGAGGCTTCATCGGTTCTTGTACGTGCGGTGGCCGGAGCACGCTTCCAGTTCCCACCAAACTTAGATACTCAGACAGAGAGAGAAACTGAGCTTCTCGTTTTGCTTTTGAAATGGATTCTTTCAACTCTTCATCCACGACCCTTCTAGGTGGTGAATACGACGTCTTTTTGAGTTTTAGAGGCCCAGACACTGGCAAAACCTTCACCGATTACCTGTACACAAGTCTCGAAGGTGCAGGAGTTCGTACATTTCGAGACAATAATGACCTTCGTGAAGGTAAAGAGATTGGGCCAGAGCTACACCAGGCGATCACTCAATCGAAGATCTCAATCCCAATTTTTTCCAAAGACTACGCATCTAGTAAATGGTGCCTCCGTGAGCTCGCCCGGATGGTGGAGTGTAAGAGAACTACAAGGCAACTGATTCTACCCATCTTCTATGATGTTGAACCATTTGAGGTTCGGCATCAATCTGGGAGTTACGAGGAGGCCTTCCGCAAGCACGAGAGTTGTTTCGATGAAAGTGCGGTAAAGAAATGGAAGGAGGCATTGACAGAGGTTGGAGCACTCAAGGGTTGGGAAGTCGAGAAAGAAGCTGATGGGTATGTTAATTCAATATTTATTCTACTCAAGGGCTTATTTTCTGTCTTTTAAAAAAATAAAAAAAAATGCTTATTTTAGTGTACCTATGTAGCACGAACGTTACACAATATATTGACTATCAAAATTTTTTAAAAAAAGGGCATGGACACGGCTATATATAAATATAAAATAAAAAAAAAAATTGCTTATTTTAGTGCACCTATATAGCACGAAGAATATATTGACAATCAAAATTTTTATTTATATACATTTATTGGGTAATAGTATTCCTCCGTATAAAATTTTAATTCATTTTTAATTTCTATATTAAGGGTTGGTTTGAAATGATTTAAAAATTAAATTATGTCCTTATTGTAATGACTTTTATTATATATATATATATATATGGTTGTTCTACTACTTTATCATAATAATATTCTTGTTTTAAATAAACAAATATCATTTTATGCTTCACTTATGATAATATGTGTAATGCCAATATTTTTTAAAGAGAAAAGTTGAACACTTTAGAATGTATTCATATTATTTCAAGATAATCAATCAGACTTTGTGTTACAAATGTTAAAAAGTGTCGGTTTAAGTGTCTAGAAAGTGTCAACGAAGTGTCCAAAATAAAAATATTTAATTTTTATTTATGAACATGTATATGAAGTGTCGGACACATGTTCGAGGTATCCGACAGAGACACGACACGAATACTGCTCCTTTGTAGAAGTGTCCGTGCTTTTGTGATGACTCTGAATTTTACAAACCCAGTGTGTCCTGTGATAACCCGAAACGGATCCAAAATGCGGAAGCTAGAATATAAGCAAGGTCTTTAGAGATGTACGTCATCCTTAAGACACAAGAGTGACTTTCTGAAGAGTTTCGAGACTCAACGGAAGCAAAACGGAGCCAAGGGTATCAAAACCCTACAAGAGAAGGACCAAGGGTAAAATGGTCATTTTATCTTAAGAGGTAAGAATTTGATTCCCAACAAGTCAAATTAGATAATAGAAAAAAAAAATGTCCAAAACCATCCTTTGGTAACTTCACTTGAAGTCCCAAGGCCAAAAGAAGAGAAAACTCAAAAGAACCATATCCCGGTTCGAACCAAATCTAACACCCTCTCTCTAAAACAAGGATATCTCGAGGTAAGAGAAGAATCTGAAACTAAAATTTATACCATTGGAAAGCTTACTTCGACACGGTCTGTTTAGACCCAAGAACGGACTAATTCGGAGTTAAAACAAAAGAGTTATGATAGTTTGAAGTTGGAAGGCCAAAACTTAACCTGCAAAAAAGGTTCTGGGAGACTTGAACCGGTTCAGCATTCCTGAACCGGTTCAGCATGGACAAAACGTCCATGTTGGACCCAAAAACACACCTTGAACCGGTTCAACCCCTCTGAACCGGTTCAACCTAACCTACATTGAACCCAAAAGTAGAAAACCAGAAAAATGGAACCAACACGGGGTTTTCAAGACCAAGACGACATTTTCCGGAAAAATGTCGTAAAGAAACTCACCCTAAAATCACATTTTCTATGTGACGGAGTCAAGACCGGAATTTATTTCCCAAAGGAAAATCCTAAAATGCCCTTTAACCGGATTATGCAAGAAAAATGTGAAATGAGTCCATCGGAGGCTCATTTCACCAACGAAAGAGTTTTTCATGAAAACGATCATGCACACAGACGTAACTTACCTATTAGGACGCGCTACAATGATCCACAGCTTAAAAATACCGCCGATACAAAATTTGACCTATCAAAACCCCAATGCGTGAAAAAATGCCCTTTAAAGACAAAAATGCAACAACTGTACTTAAATGCAATCAAATGACCGTTTGGCCGTTAACCACACTTCATGCATATTAAATGAGACCTAGTGGATGTGCTCGTGCACACTTTGCACCACCCAATTTGGAAATGAACCCTTAAAGTTTCGGATTTTCCTATTTTTAGCTCAAAAATGCAATATATGAAACCAAAATGCAAAACTTAAAACAAAATGGTATTTGGCCCTTGGCCACACCTCATACTTGGTAAATGAATGCCTAATAATGAATTTCATACACAATGCACACTTCGATGCAAAGATGACATATTAAAACCCTAGTTTTTCATATTATTATCATGAAAGGCAAATTTCTACATTTTTGAAAAACACATGGATTTCAAATAAAGTTTGGCTCTCGGCCACATATCATATACATAAAATGGATGTCAAAATGTGTGCTTAGGCACACATTACAAGTCTCAAGGTAAAAATGACATTGTTAACCTAACTATGCATTATAACTTGAAAAGCAAAACTTAAACATGCTAACACTTGCATGTGAACAAGAATGCAGTTAAAAGAACTTCAATCCAACGAAACGATATAGGGACGTTGTGCATCCCGAATCAAGGTATCCATACCTGAAAAATAATCCGATAACTTTGGGGTGAGTAAACAAGTTACTCGTTGGGAATGAGCATGCATGGACCTAACTTTTTACAAAGTTAACACATTAACATGAAACAATTCAAAGGATCATGCTACCTAATGTCTATGTCAAAATGAGACTAAGGGATCATCTCAATCTACTCATGCAATTGAAATGAACTACGGCATACAAGTATACATGTATCAAGTATACAAAAACGATGTAAAAACATGGTATACAACATACAAGCATAAACTTTCAAGTATACTAAACCACATCGAAACAAGTTATGCAATGTCTAAGCATACCTACACAAGTATACAATTAATATGGAAAGCTCGTAAATCAAGTATACGAATACAAGTATACTAAGCTAAATGAATTACGCATAAGACAAGTATACACGGCATGAGTATACTAAAGTGAGATCTGATTACACAAATCAAACATACAAGGCGTAAGTACACTAAATAGAGTTTAGATACACAAACAAGGATACAAGTTCAAGTATGCTAAATGAGATCTAAATACACGAAGCAAGTATACAGTTTCAAGTATACTAAAAGAGATCTAAATGCACGAAGCAAGTATACAGTTTCAAGTATACTAAATGAGATCTAAATTGCAAGGTAAGTACCAATTCACAAGCTATAAGTAATCCATGATTAACTACTTGGAATTTAATGTAAAATCAGATAGTGGAAAGACTAGGATACTTGGTTACTGGCCAAATAAGTTATTCTGGGCAATTACGACCCACAACGAACTACCTAGTGCACGCGTGTATAAGTGATTCTGGGCAATTACGACCCATAAGGTACTACCTAGTGCGCACTTCATATGACTAAGGAAACTCTTGTCGCCGTACTAGAGCCAAACTCTAGCCATCACATGTATATTTTCCTTACAAGCCTTCCAAAATCAATAAGTTCAAAACTTATGCAAAAATCAATAAGTTAGACCAAATTTATATAAACTCAAACAATGTATAGGAATCAATTTTCATGCACAAGTAAGGTTAAATCCACACAAACCATGCCCTAGAGTTTCAAGTCTATAATGACCTTCACAATGTCGAATCTTCAATGTGCGATTCGTTACACTCTATGATAATATCATTTCAATATCGAAAACACAACCTCATCCAAACAATCCCTAATAAACGTACATATGTTAAACAACATAGCATGGTTATTACATAAACCAACTCAAAACTAAATTAGGTCATTGGAACAACAAAATAGAATTTAATTAAAATACGGTAATTAAATCTCTAGATTCTAAAGTAACTCCAAATGGCCCCAAATTGCATACATTAGTGAACAAGTCCTAGTTATTACCAATTTCAAGTTAAAAACTCAATCAAATCAATGAAACCCTTAAATAGATAAGGAAGTGGGCGATAGGGCTCGAATCGCGGCTTGGGCGACTCGTGTGTGGAAGGTCTCATCTGGCGTTGTGGTGTCTCCTCTGCTGGATTCCTTGCTGTTGTTCCGCTTTCCATCCCCAGCGGAAGCTTCAAGGGTACTCAAAATGGGGCGCCGTGATTGGGGGACGGCTACCTTACGGGTGGACAATTGGAGTTTCAGAGTTGGGTGTTCTGAGGAGTTGAAAGGCAAGGGGTTGAAGATTATGACACTTAACGGGCTCCCTCTTCATCTCTGGAGTCATGCCCTGTTCATGACAGTTGGGGATTTATGTAGTGGTTTTATTTGGGTGGATGCCGATGAAGCCGTGGATGCTGAACGGGTTCGTATCATAGTTTCGAATGGAAGGGTTTGCCCCTCTTTTGTCTTCATACACGACGATCAGTTTTGTTATAAGGTTGTCCTGTGGGACGAGAAGCCACGGGAACTTGAGCCGACAACGAATAGCCTTGAAGGAGGGGATGGTTCGCACTTGCTCAAGGAGGCCAAATGGTTGAGGTGGGATGCTATGGGAAAGAAGGGACTGACAGAGTTTCAACAATGGAAGGAGTGGAGGGACGCCCTCTGGATTCAAAACTCTAATTGCTTTAGACGGATTTTCACTCAGAAAAGGAACGAAGGTTTAGCGGGTGGGTCTGGTCGTCGCCTGCAGATGGGCTTCCAGGAAACTCAGAGGGGTGGATCTTTCACCAAGTTTGGCCGTCCGGCGTTCTTGCAGATGTGGGATCAAGGAAGAGAGAGAGGTGATCTTCACGCGATGCAAGCGCGTGGAAAGAGGAGTTTTGCTGGCCATTCACGTGGATGGCGCACAGGGAGTGGACGTTTTAAGTGGAATACAGCTGGTTCCCATTTTGTTTCAAATGATTGGGCTCTAAAGGCGAGGATGCAACTTTGTGGAGATGGGCCTAAGGATGGGCCGTTGACCAAGTCTTTGGGAGTAAGTGTTCATTCCCCGCGTGGGCCGGCCTAGCCTTCGATCTTGACCTGTACTTCTAGTGGACTGGCTGAAGGTGTGAAAGCCCATAAGCATGATTTTGATGCAGTTGGGCCTGTTGGTTTGGGTCGCAATTTGAAGGGCAGGCCAGGGTCATTTAAGGACGTTACTGGGCCAATATTGGGCAATTGTTTTGAGCCCTTATCTAATGTCGTGATTAACAATGATG